TAAATTTAAGTTCAGGCGTTTCCGAAAACAATAATTGACTACATAGCATAAAAATAACGAGAGGTACTATTATTTCAGGTCAACTGGCTGAATAAACACACACCCTGTTTTCACTTTGTTATTCATCGTAGACTGACATCAGTTGGAGGAACAAAGGGAACCTGGGAGCACTTGACAGCTGTTTCGTCCTAGTTTTGTTCACTTAACTCGATACAGAAGGTTGTATCACATTACAGCATTATAAAAATCCCCATCATGTAAATTAGAACAAGACATATAAGCGAACAATACTGTTTTCAATTAGATCCTCTTCAGGCTTCACTCTATCACAAATAGCTTAATATATATATGATTAAAACAATCATGTAGATTGAACGCTTGATGTGATAAATGTTTCATATAACGGTGGAGATGATAATGCGAATAATAATAATGAAATTGATAAAAGTGATAACGTTGACTCAGGCACATGCATTATAGATGATAATGATGATAAGAACCAAGATGGCAGCATGAAAATGTAGATACTCTAATAATCAAAATGGGTCAAAAGCTTGTGAAAATAAAAGTTACCTAATAGTGAAGGGCGAGGTAAGTGGATAAATAAAGCCTAGACAAACACAGTGAGTTTACGAAAGGGGTGAAGAATAAGAAAAGGGGTAAGAAAAAAAAATAAAAACTGAGTGATAAAGCCATTTGTATTAGGGTTATGCCTAAAGAGGATCAAATTGAAAACAATATTGTTCGCTTATATGTCTTGTTCTAATTTACATCACAGCATTACTAATCTCTCAGCCATTTTCTTATTCTTTCATTGATTGAGAGTTTTTGAGACTTCGGAAAGATCAAATTAATTATAACAAAAAGGCCTGTTACGGTTTGCAAACCACGACGAAAACTTATTCTCGATAGCGATTGTATGTAGACAACAATAGATATACAAGATAACATTTCTATGTATTATAATTTGTTATTTGAATTACATGCTGTATCCAATACATCAGAACAATGTTCATTTGACTAGCAGTAATGGGACATTGTACCATTGATTAATACATGGCTGTGAGTTGTGATAAATGTTTAGTTAAACATCAAGTAGCTGCACTTATCTTTCAGTCATTTGAAGTATGAAGTGCTATCATTTCTCTGCAGACGTGAATTATTTATTTGTTTTTGAGTATCTACACATCTGTTAGGGAATCATATATTACCGATAGCAAACTTCTTATTTCTCAGTTCGTAGGTATCAAATAGTGGCTTTTGACAAGATTGTTCATTGATAAAATTGTTGTGATAGGGAACTGAAAATACTGTCTATGATACTTGACTAATCGCTGTGCTGTTCATTTGAATGTCTCATCAAAAAACTTGATAGAATTAAGAATACTGAATAGTAACTAGTAGTGTGTTCTAGGGTGTGCGTTTCGTTCTGTTTAGTAGTCAGTCAGTCAATTAGTGATGTTGCTACCACTAAAAGTGGAACTCAGCATCCATCGCTTAAAATTATGTAAATGTAGGGTTTTTACAAAAGAAAATTATTCTCTTTTTGAGTGGTCGAAGGTGTTTACTGACGTTCTCGGAAAACGTTAACATGACTGTCAAGTTGTCTGATCATTGTTATAACCTAGTTTAGTTTCTGTACGTAGAGTGATCAATCCCTTTTGATGGCCACGGCAAAGAAGTGGATTGTGTATACTTCTTATGAACGCACGATGGAAATTCGAACTCTTAACTTACCAATAAGCCAGCTATTCCTAAGTGTCCTATTCTTACTCCTTGCGGATGGCTTCGTTGTATTTTATACTAAATTTTGAAGGACTTATGAAATGGGGCCAACGACTCTGTTTTACTTAACACTGAGTTACAACAATTATTTAGCTGTTCCTACCTTTCGATCGGATAATGTTCGTCAATTTCATTTACGTTATCTTGCCGCTTTTTGGTAAAATACTTAACTAATATCTCTTCCCTTATACAAATGATTTGCAACAGGGAAACAAATAAGCGTAGAACTTTGTTAAAGTTGGTGTACATCATAGAAAAATGCACAGAAAAGTTTGTGGAGAAGCGAATAATTTAAAGGTAGACAAGTAAGTCAGCCAACATCTATCTACTCAGAGCAGATTAACAGTCAGTTACTTATTGAACTTAAGTGAACTGTTTGTGTGGCATCATTTAGCCTTCTCTTCTAGACTAACATCGTGCGTCTACCTAAGAGGAGGCTTCGTTAGCATGATTCATATTCAAGTAAACTCAGTTACCTGGCGTCCACCATCTCATCGAATAACTTGCGTTTCTTGTTTGTTACTCTGGACATATACTCAGTATTGTTCAGTGCAGATGAGCAATGCTACGATAAACAGTATAACTGTTTGTACACCATTAGATAGTTCTAATCTGATTTCTTGCCTAAGAGTAAAACACGGTTTCCTTTCATACATGTACAAATACACTTATTTTGAATAAATAATAGGCAGTTATTCATAGGACTGAGGACGCCAGTATAAAGAAATGGCAATCAATAAAATCTCATTCTGTTAGTGTTTGATCAGAAAATGGTGTTCTCAACTACTTAAATGCATTTTTGTCACCTCAGCTAGTTACAGATTGTTTAGTTACTATTCGATCAGGCCTACTCCCTACGACCAAGTATTGAAAGTCTTGTAAATCAACCAGTTCAATGAAATGATAACAAACATCTGCTATTTATTTTACAATATTTCGAAAGAATGGTTATTCATGTATGGATAGCAAGCAGATGATTTTCCTGTGTCTCATGTTAGCTGAATAGACTGTTGATATGAATAGTGTCTTACATCAAGTCTTTTTTCAGCGCTATCCATTGATTCCGCACATCTGTTTAACTAAGTCAGGTAATCCAGTCACTAAAAAGGAATAACCTTATTTTTGAAGTAATTTTTTCCACACCAAATAATCAATCTCTTGAGCAACTCTTGATTTTATTCATGTAAGTATAAAACAGTTTTATGACTCAATAATAGATGAAATCAATTTAAATATTCAAAAAACTAATTTTATGGCATTATATGCAGTACTGTATTTGTCGCCTGCAGAGAAATAAAATCTTGGAAAACGAATGAACAATAACAATTTCATTCGACTTCATTTACAACCTTTCTGAAACGTTTTAAGTGAAGGAACAGCAATTGATGTATCTTTCAAAAAGTAAGCTCGTAAAACATTATTAACTACAATGCAGATAGAATGACGTGACGACGCGTTAACAACAATTTTTTAATGTTCGAAAATGAAAAGCCTTCCTTTTACTTACAAATTTTCTCACTAAACAACAGCATTATAAAAACTTTAACACTCAGCTTCTAAAAAAACTGGAAATGAAGTTAAGTAGTGCTATGAATTAGTAACTGCAATAATTCTCGCTTTACGCATTTTCCTTTTAGTGTTGAATTCCAGGTCGATTCTGAAAACTGTTTTATTGACTGAGGTGGTCGATTACTGAAGTACAATTGTTGTCCATTTTTATGGTCGGTATATTGTAATAAAGGTAGACTGTTATGGTCTATATAGCTGGAGTGTTTCCACTGACAACACTAAGAATTTATGCGTGTTGGATGAATAATTTTTTAAGTTGTCGGTTTTCCTTTCAAAAGCAATATGAACAAAGAATATTTATCTCATCAGTTTCTACAGTTACACATGGAATTCTTCGGCATAAAACCAGTCAAGTTTGAAGCAACTACATTTTCGAAATAGAAATATGAACTAGTAACTGCCGGGAAATCAATTTTCATATTTCAAGACTTTTTCAGATGGGCATTAAAGTATTTCTCTGTAGTGAAATATCTTGATTGAAGGGATAATATTGGATACCTTGTTTTGGCATTTATATTTCCTAATGAAAGAAAAATTTGACAACCTTATTTCGTTTATCTTCCATTTAGAAATAAAAATAAGAAAATAACGTGTATCATTTTCCTAATGCTCCAAGTTTTCTCATCCATGAAATCCCAACTTGGTTTGGATATCTATAATTTAAAACCTTAATTGGTAATTAATCTGAGACTGAAACAGTTTCGATCAATCAACATTTTCGTGGTGAGTGTCAATATATGCTTACAACTGTGGAGAGCTAAAAGTATCATAAGTAAAAGATTTACCAAGTGGAGTAAATGTCATGCGAAAATTTTAGAAAATTCTAACTCCATAGCTTATAACTAAGAAAGACTGAAAAAATAGAGTTACAAATAAATTTTACTTGTAAAAACAACATTATCATTGGTAAAAGACATGTCATGTCAGTAGAAGGGGTTGAAATGAACTGAGAGATCTCAACAGGTGTTGCAACTCGCTGAATTAGCCGACGTTTTTGTCGAAAATTATTAATGCTATTTAGAAACAAGTGTGTGTTATTTAAAAAGCTTGAAACGAAGACCAAATTGTGCTTCTTGACTGCGTTATGTCCTAAATTATGAAGAATGCAAAAGCGAACAACTGACAGGATCTGAAAACTGACTGCAAAAGGTTATTTACAGATGATATATTTCAGACAAAGGCTTATACTGCAAGGTAGCAGCCCACAAATGGTCATTATTACTTCAAGTGCCAAAGTTCATTTATCCAATGCAGTCCTGACAATTGGGAATGAAAATGGACATGAAACACGTCATTCTTTCAGAATCATTTACTTTGATAACCATAAACAATTGTGTAAATTCACCAGTAACGAAAAAAGATAAATGACCAGTAAAATTGCTGAAAATAATTAGCCAACCAACGATAGCCTACATTCTTTCACGAGTTTCAATTGGTTATTTTTAGGAAGCGACACGTCAATGAGTCAGTGTGTTTTAGTTTACTGAAATAAGTGAATGCCTACTTGTGTATATTTCACTTTATACTTGGTAAACATGTGACGTGGATTCAGGAATATATGCTAACGTATACACTTTTATATACTGTTGTTAGCTACCATATGGTGAAACAAGGCAAACAGCAATCAAAATTGACTTTTGTAAAGAATGTATCAGTCCAGTAGCCATAATTCACATAACTGCCAACAATATTCCATGGGAAACTGCTCGTTATGTAAACATGAAGAATACGGGAACGATTGTTTACGAAATGAAAATGACAGCCAGGCTGGTGCCACATTCCAAAACATCTATAATATGTCAAATTCTTTGTCTTATCCCCTTTTGAGCGGAGAATATCATACTTCAATAACGAATAATGTCAACCCTCATAATGTGATATCTATAGATAGAACGCAGTCAGAAAATACAACCGGTTATGATGCAACAGTTTTGATGAATGACATAAGAGAATATGGATGGCCATTTTTTGAAAAGTCCACATCTGCTTTTTCTTTATGTTCTCATGCAAAATCAAATTTTAGTTCCAGTTATCGTGATTGTCGTCTGCGTTATATTAAGCAAACGAGGAAATTACAAAAGTACTTACGTGTTACTCCTGAAGGACATATATTAGTAAACAATCCAAAAATTGAACATCAGCTATATCAAAACACCCAACAACCACAACAACAACTGTCAGGTAATCATTCCTATAATCATTCAAAAATTAATACTTTTGAGTGCAAGAGCAATTTAAACAAGTTGACAACAAATGAGCATGAACTGTGCAATAATCCATTTGGTTCGCTTATTAGTACACCAAAAATTAAGCGTATATATGCAGCCTTCTGGAATCTAGAACCACGTGAAAGTATTACTGTACGCAAACTTCAGGTATCATCGACAACACCGTTAATCACAACAACGTCAACAATGACAACGACATCAGAATCAGCTAATCAATCAGAAACTAGTATAACAGAAACAACTTCCGACTATTATATAAACGGTTGCAATCATTTCAAAAATAATGAACAAGACGATGATTTAAAATCCACATTGCATAATATTATATCTGTTGATACTCAGTTAGAACCATTAATGGAGAATTCTGTAAATGACAGTAGTGGGATGTCAGACCCAGTTTTAGAACTGAACTAGTCTAAAGTATATTTATCTATTTCTTTGATTTCATTATTCTTCTAAAATCTAAAACGTCTACTCATATAATGTGATCTCAAACTAGTCAGTTTGAACAGATGATCTGAATTCTTTATACATATTTTTATGTACATTACAAATGCATTTATTGAACATGATTTAATAGTTGTTTCCTAAGTTTATTTATGGTCATAGTAAAGACATCAGTTATGATGATTGGTAAGCAGACGAGACAAGGAAATTTCAAGGTTGTTTTCTAAAGCGAAATATCTTGAACGTGTGATACTTCACTAGACAGAGGGTAAATCATTTCTCAGTTTATCATTATTATGAAGAAGAAAATAAGTAGAGCATCTGCAGTGATCTCCGTCAAAGACAGAAAACTGATAGGATTTATACGTTACTTTCTGTTGATGAATTTGAACATTGCAAGAACAAAGATTTTTGCAGAAAAGCATGAGTTCATTCTGTTTCATGCTTTAGTTTTACTTTCAAAATAAAATTTAGACAAGGAACTTAATTGTAGCTTGACTTCAAACAGAGACCTGCAAAGTAAACCGCCTTGTTGCATTGTTCAGTTCCTAAAGCTAAGTTAATATCTAACTTACTATCAAGTTTTTACCATACACAGGTAAGATGTTGATCTATTGTTATTTTAGCTTCGTATGTAGGTGTAACTTCCTTCAAATTCATTAACATGCAAATAGAAACGGAGTTCTTAGGTTTAAAATAGTTCTTAAGCCCTAGTTTAAAATCAGGAGTGAAGTATGAAAAGTAGTCTGTGAATTTGTGAAACAGTATACAAATAAGAACATTTTTTAGTCTACAGACTCATAACTTTAACTGTTTAATTATTCTGTCATAAAACTAATGTACATCACTAGGGTTAGTGTTTTTAGTTACTATGTGATGAATTAATTTATGATATTACTTGAAATACAATGTAGGTAGTGTTCCATGATCACGCACACACATGATCGGAAGCATACACGGTCTTTCTTTTAAGTAAAGACATCGTTGAATGTTACGAGGAAGTGGAGTAACAAATCAGTGAACAAAAGTAGTCTATGCAGTCTGGGTCCTCAGTGCCATGGTGTCAACACACAATCATGACTAAAAGATATTCGATGTTTTACACTCTGTCACGCATAACGGCTGTTTAGCTTGATTTTGCTCTTTCTGACAGTCCAACGTTCCGCTTTGATGAAGTTTGAATTGTTTACATTGAAGTATCATGCTAATTGGACTAACTGCCATCTATGGGAAGCAATTTTTATACACAGTCCTTTAAAAATAGAAGCTTTTCTTTCCTTGATGTAGCACAACTTTGTAGTATATCCACTAGCTGACAAAATATGATGGAAGATAGAAACACGCCACATGGAAATTAATGGTGTCAGTGAATAGACTTACTGGTTGTTACTATTTGATTAGTAGGTGTTGCTGTCTGAACCAATTAAAATGGTGCCGTAATCTTAGGTGTGTGAGATCAATCGTATCTCTTTGTCGCTCCATATTAGGTTTGCTTATTTGATTTAAAACATAGTTCCTAATTTCTACACATATTAATCTCACTGTATGCTATTATTAGTGTGTGCAGATATCTTGCTTTATACCCTAAATAGTCAACTTTATAAATAAATTCTGTTAGAAGTGAAAACGAAATATCATGGCATGCTAGAAACTTTTCTGGACATTCAGTACTACGGAGTTGATCGCGGATAACTTGAAGTTTTTCATCGAAAGTATCGCCTGAACAAATGAACCCTGTAGACCAAACATTTGACTAAATTTCGTTTCCATTGCAAGGGGATGAAACTAAAAAAAAATGATTGCATTCACTAGTTGATACTGGTTTCCTATACACACTCCTTTTTATAGTTCCACCCGTCTCTCTTATCAGTCAGATATCGACGGAGCTGATGCTGTCGTCCATTCCTCTGTAAATGGTGAAGGTTATCGCTGGATGGATGTTATTAAATTTATCCAGTGTATTACTCGCACCATCCTCTTTCGGAATTAAGAATGTATCATCCACGTTACGGTAGTAAGTTTGTAACTCCTTTTTCACCCACCTCCTTGAACTATAAGAAACTATCACAAGTTTTATATGACGTTTTTCTTCCTATGGCATGGCTTTCAATTCGAGTGTTTTTCATTCGTTGTGATATCTGTAGTTCCGTCAAGTGTTCACTCTTAGTTGTCGTGATGAGCATCTAAAAACTCAAAAAGTCATCAGTTTAGTTTTGAAATTTACAACTTCAGTTTTGCAAATAGCTAGAGTTTAATTCTCATAGAAAATTGTATAAAATTTAGTTTTTAAAACGACTAGTGCACTAAAAATAACTGTTGTTAAGCCGCACTCATATATTTATGTCACACTATAGTAGTGTAGATTGCTCTGAAAGATCTGGACATAACAACCGTACGAGTGTATAGTGTAAGTGAAAACGAAAACCAATTTTTTGATGATCGTTCGGTCTTTTCCAAGCTTTTACATTTTGTTGGAGACATTTCGTCCCAAAGCTTGATAGGATCGGCAGCACTTTAATGAAGTAAGGACAATGAGTCACTGCTGACCACTATCCCTCATCATTGCACAAAATCTGTCTGTTTCACCACCGTAAATTTTATATGAACAGAATAACTTTTTACCTTTGTTGTATCAGGTTTTTGGATACTAGACGGAAGATCATTTCATTACTTTTTACTCTTTCTACTTTGTGCCTTCAAACACAGCTTTTGAAATGAGTCCGTGAAAATAATTCAACTCGCTCTAACTCTCTTCTCCTTTTTTCTGCGATCGACAAACTTGTGCCAGATGCTTACAAAGTGAATAAAACTGAATGTTGAAGAATCATATTGAAGGTTTTAAAATGTAGATTCAAACGGATCTTACAGCTAGTGAAGTTACAAAAAGCAGTTATACTTCAAAGCAGTTTAAATGGAGAACGAATTTAGTTCTCAAGATGATGTTCAAAAGAAATGACAAGTGAGAGATCTGAGGATATGAATGTGTATAAAATCAAATATAAGACCTACAAACATGAAGTGTATGGGAATAAGTACTAAATTATTTTGTTAGTATATTTTACTAGCTAGAAGTGGATGGTGAATGCTTGTAAAGCTTTCTTACTGGTGTTTACTGACAAGTGTACCAAAATATTAGGTTAATTTATTTAAAAGCATTCTTGAGACAAACATTAGTCTGCCCATTTTTGTAAACCGGCTTAGATGTGGTAGAGGGACATAAACTATTTGGAATTAGTTTTTTCTGAACTTGTCAAATGGTTTGTAAATTGTCCTTCTGGATAGTAATACGGAAAGAAAACATCAGATTGACTGGAAAGATATTTTAGCAAAGAATCTGAAACATTTTGTTAGAAAATAAACAACTAAATGAAGATAGATAAACTGGTTAAAGCTGTCAAGAAAATAAAGTGTAAGTACACCTTTGGAGTCTTTAAATATGATCTTAACAGCTGCAAATTTCAAATGCCCCTAAAAAGCATTCGCTTAACACTCACGAGTAAGGACTGTTTTAGCGCAACACATCCGCATAGCTTGAATCCATTTTCAACGGTGTTGCATAAACCCAACAGCTGCCTGTTGCCAACATTTGAGAACTTTCAACGAGATGACCTACGTTGCCTAACATGACGCTTACCAACGGTTAATATCTCTATGGGATGGAAATCTGTGGATGTTTTATAAACTGATTCTGCTTCAACAAGCAGACAGTAAAATTAAGAGCTAAAACGCCGTTGAGGATTATTTTGATAGGTGGTTCTTTAAAATAAACTGGATGTAATGCATAGCTGAATGAAATTTGATAAAAAATATCTGATGAATCAGTTTTACTAATACTATTCCTACTGGTGGGGCTATAATTCTTATCTCACTACTAATACTGCTAGAGAAATGGTTTTTTATGTATTCCGATCCTTTGATAGGTTTAGATATAGCAAATCTCGTCTTTCTTGCTTTGTCCAAAGTTGTATTCATTAAGTTCTAAACAAATGCACGTGATAATCTGAACATAAACGTTTTTATTGTAACAAATGTCAACAAAGAAAACCCAGCTTATTCTGCCGATACAAAAAAGATATGCACCGAATGTTGAACCTTACACACTAGCTAACCTGTCTCAAAACAAAATTTTAGTCATCAGGCCTGCACATTTAGTGTACACAAGTTTAAAATCTGTAAGTTGAATCGCTTTGCTTGAAAGTTTTTTCAAATAATGTTTTTTCATTCTAGCACTAAAGGTATGCCACAAACCTTTTTTCTTATAAGTCACATTGAACGGCAAGTCTTGCTATTTAATATTTAACTCACATTGAGATATGTATACTTGCATATTTGTAGTCTGTTAGTGGCAACGTCTCCAAATGGCATTCAGTTGCACAGACCCGCTCATATATCATTCTTGTTTGTTAACTGTTAGTATTAACTCTCTGCAGCAACTTTCGTTTACTAAGGCAGAAGGATCAGACTATACCCGGTGAATAGATTTCATAGATTGTGTGAAGAAGCAGTCTGCTAGTTATGTGTCTACCGTAGTGAAAAAATAAAGAAAATGGGTCTTTGTAAGATTCCGTTGTCGAAAATGTGCATTTGGGGGATTGTGGTTGAAAGAAAGAATTTTATGCTACTTAATATCAGCAAGCGGAGGTACCAATATTTGGCGAAAAATGTAACGAATAGTGATGCACTTTACTAGGTAAAAGGTAAGTGCTAACGTTAGGGTTTCAGTGACGGAATATTTGTTATCCAGTAAGTAGTCAGTGGTGTGTTACCTCAGTAACACAGTTTGCATCTACGTGACGTTTTATTTCATCATGACACATGCAGTTATGTCATCTAAACATGGACTCTATATTCTGATATTAGTTCACTTAGAAGTTCCTAAGCAGTCGTCATCCAATGCAAACAGTCGATACGTTTGATGTTGGCGAAACCAACTGTTTGAGCATCAAAGTCTTATGTTTGTTTGATCA